CCCGCGGGTTCGAGACCCACCTGGGCAGCAAGACCTTATCTCTACAATAAATCAAAAAAAATCAGCCGGGTGTGGTAGCGCGCGCCTGTAATTCTGGCTACTCGGAAGGGTGAGGCGGAAGGATCGCCGTAGCCCAGTAGGTCGAGGCTGCGGTGGCCGAGAGCGGCCACTGCACTCCAGTCTGGGCGACAGAGTGAGACTCCAACTCAAAAAAAAAAAAAAAATAAAAGGTGGTACATATACACGATGGAATATTGCACAGCCATAAAGACAAAATTAACTTCGCAGCAACTTAGATGAATTTAGAGTTCGTAGTACTCAATGATCTATTACAGAAACAAAGAACAGAGTACCATATATTCTCACTCATAAGCGGACCCTGGACAATTATCATAATACTACAAGAAACGGATTGGCAGTAGTGGGAAACTGCTGGGGGGTAGGGCGGCACACTTCATCAATAAGGGTACCTGATCTCAAACCAGGTGAAGTGGAGACCAAAGTGAAGACCAAACTTTACCTGTACGATGACCATTTGTATACCTAACCCTGAACTGTACCCCATATCTTTAAAATAAAAATAAATAAAATAAAACCTCGGTTTCCCACGATCCTACTCTTAATCTCTCTCTTTTCAATTCACACATTCTCCTTGGGTGATATCACATCTCAGTTTCAACTACTACAGAAATTATAGTAACTCCCAAATCTCTACCCGACTTCTCCCCAAATTTCAGATTCCAAGATTCAGTTCTGTATCAGGTGTACCTCTTGGGCTGTCTACTCCAGCTCAGCTCTACTCAATCTAACTGGCCACTCTAATTCAACCCTTCTCCAAATCCACTCTTCTTCCTCTATTACCACGGTTGGTAGCCTGTATCATCGCCTCATCAGAAACATACAAGCCACCCTTAGCACTCATCTGCCCCCCAAACCCTAAAGCCTGTCTCTCGCCAGACCCAACACAACAGCCTATTCACAAATATACCTCATCCAATCATCTCTCCCCAGATCCAACCTCACTCTGTTGTCACCCTTCATTCAACAAATACATGGAACACCTACTTTGTGCCAGGCCCAATTCTAGGGATTCACAGACCTACCAAGAGCAAATCCTTGCTCTCACAGAACTTACAAGCTATAGCCTGAGGTCAACCCGACAAAACAAACTTGTCCTCATCATGTTCCTGCTTTAAAATCCTGCAACAGGCCAGGCACAGTGGTGCACACCTCTAATCCCAGTTACTCAGGAGGCTGAGGTAGGAGGACCCCTTGAGCCTTAGGAGTTTGAGGCTATAGTGTGCTCTGTTTGTGTCTGTGAGCACAGTCATTGCACATCAGCCTGGGCAAAGTAGTAAAACCCCATCTCTAAAAAAAATGCAAATAAAATCCTTCAACAGCTCTCTCATCACATATAGCAAAAGGTGAAGCTTCTAGAGTTGACTGGCCCACTGGTAAAGCACAGGCTCCAGAATCAGATAGATCAGGCCAGGTGCAGTGGCTCACACCTATAATCTCAGCACTTTGGGAGGCTGAGGTGAGAGAAGACTGCCTGAGTCTATGGGTTCGAGACCAGCCTGGGTAACTTGGCGAGACCTCATCTCTACAATAAATCAAAAATTAGAGGGGCGTGGTAGCATGCGCCTGTAGTTCCAGCTACTTGGAAGGCTGAGGTGGAAGGATCGCCGGAGCCCAGCAGGTCAAGGCTGCGGTGGCTGGGAGTGGCCAATGCACTCCAGTCTGGGTAACAGAGTGAGATTCTGACTCAAAAAAAAAAAAAAAATCAGGCCTGGATTCAAATTCTTACATTGTAAACTGGGGCAAATTACCTCCTGATCTGAGCCTGGGTTCCCTCACTTTTTGAAGGACACAGATGTCTTCCCCTTTGAGGTGTTTGCTAGATTGGAGACAATTTATGAAAGTGCCTGGCAGAGTAGGTGCTCACTGGCCTGGCATACAAGGCCCACACAATCTGGTCTGTCTCACTACCTGACCACACTGACACTATGTGGAGTTATTCATAGTTATATATACCCAATTCCCACACTCTGCAAGCACTTTCTCTTTCACACTCAGGCTCTCCTGTTATTTGTCAATGGCTCCTGCTGAAGTCTTCTGTGACAGGCCTGATCCTACTCAAGCTCCAAGAATCAGCTCAGAAAACACTTTCCTCCAGGAAGTCTTCCCTGATGCCAGGCAGAGTTAAATGACTCTTTTCAATGTCCCCATTGTTCCACAACACATATAATTATCTTCCAAACCAAAACAGTTGAGAGTGAAAGGAGGAATTATTCATAATTACACCTGGGCAATAGGTGGGAACCAGGATAGCTGTTGACCATTTATACATCTATGATATCACTTATCATGCCTATAGTAAAATTCTGTTCATGTGTCTGGACCCTCTCCATCCCCAGAAGACCATAACTTATCAGGGGCAAACTCAAGGACCGAACTAAGAGTCAAAATAGGCAGTGCTTACTTGAACAAACCTACAATAAACCCTGGTTCAAGCTACTAATGTTCACTGCCACAAATATCATTTCTTTGACACTAATTAAATGTTAGCTGAGGTAGGAAATCTTTGTAGAATAGTTTTTAAATTTTTTTTAAAAGCATGACTCTGAAAAATTAGCTACCAAATATTTAAACAGTAGTTAGAAAGACCCTGAGAATTTAAGACAGAGGAAACAAAATCTCTAAAGGGAAGTTGCAGCAAGATACCAAAATATTCACTTTTATTAAAACTGTTTATGTCTCCAGCTTTTGGTGTAAGAACAAGTCAGCAGTGTTCTATTCCCAGTCTCTTTCTAGACAGTACATTTTTTTAAAAGAAAGAAAAAAGTATCTTTTTTCCTACTTCAAAGGGGAAAAAATGTTTGATGTAAGAATGGTCAGTCATGAATTAAAGTAAAAGATAAAGCATGCACAAAAGACCTTCTCAAAGCCAGGGAGAATCCTATTTAAGGAAACCCAATTTAAAGGGAAATCCCCTGGCTATTTCTTCCAAACAAATTGTTCCTAACAAGCAGGAAGATTTATACCCACCCAACCCCCTAAAGTCTACTTTTTTTTTTTTTTTTGAGTTGGAGTCTCCCTCTGTCGCCCAGGCTGGAGTGCAGTGGCATGTATATGGCCACTGCAGCCTGGACCTGCTGGGCTCAGGCGATCCTTCCGCCTCAGCTTCCAAGTAGCTGGAACTACAGGCGCATGCTACCTCGCCCGGCTAATTTTTTTATTTATTGTAGAGATGAGGTCTCGCCAAGTTG